TTCATTTCATCTTGAAGCAGTATGCCTAGAATCTTTTGTTACTATTATTCGTGGGTGACTTTCAGCTGTTGAATGCATATATTTGCTTGATTACATGTTTCTCAATAGCTTGAACATACAGAAAAGTTTAAGCTTACTTTTTTTTTGTTTTGCTTTTCCTGACAAAGGAAAGAATTAGGGATAGTTACAAGTGATCTAAGCTTTATGTTTAAAATGAAGAGTATCTTACTGGTACACTATCTTTCATGGTATGGTACCAAACTCCTTGAAATTTTGGAGAAGAGCTGTGCGTTGTGTTAAATCTCTCTAATCTAGGTGGGACTTCAAAGCAGCAGAGCTGCAAGAGCCCGTTCCCAAAGGAGCTCCGTCTCTGAGAGTCTCCTTTCTCATAAGTACAATTGAGCTTGCTATATTGCTGGTGGTTCCAAAGATGAAATACATACTAATGTTCTTTAAAATCTGTTAGTCCTATAATTGCAAAAATTATCTAACTTTCTCATTTTAAAAGTTATTTAGCAGCCACACAGCAGATGTTATATGGAACATGTACTGATTTACACAAATTATTAGCCAGTTTATTTACTTCTGGTGCTCATAGATTGCTGTATTTTCTTAATTGAAATTTCATTGTTTTATGTCCCAATTGTCTAGGCAGAATGATAATCTCAGCGAGGTAAAATATTACAGAAGTTTAGGTTGAAGGGAATTTTTGTTTGCCTAAATCTTTTCCATTCTGATTCAGCAGGAATCATTGAAAATGAAGAGCTTGCCTTCTCACGACTTTTTCAGAAAAGAAAAGAAATTCCAGAAAATAAGGATGTTGCTCCAGTGTGTCCCTTCTGAGTAGGACATAGTTATATTTAAGTTGATCATTTATACCTCTTATTTTTTTCCTTTGAGTTTTTTCCTTTGTGTAATTCATGCTCATCGGTTTTTGTTTTGTTTTGTTGAGCGTTAACTCAAATTCGGTGTTTTGCAAAGACTTTTTTATTGCATTCTAAACATCCTTGTGCTTCTGGAGGAGGCAGTTGGAAGGCTTAGAGGAGTTAGGCATTTAGGAACAGGGGCTGGTGGTCCATATCTACCCATTGATCAATACCATTTTTTAAAGTATGTCTAGTTTCTATCTTTACATGTAAAACATACACCTTTTCAGCCATTGATTCATAGGACTGATTAGTGCTACATTTAATTCACATATTTCATTTGCATACTGGTTCTGAAATTAAACAGAACTAAATATGTTCCATTAAGTTGATGGTTAGGCTAAATGTGTTTTTCTAACGCTTGAAATACTGTGACAAGATGATGAGTAGGAAGGTATGTAGCTCAATATTTAATTCATCTTACTAAGATAATTTGGTAGTATAGAAGTATATCTCCTTATAACAGTGCCCGTCAAACCTGCCCATATATCATGATTCCATAAACCTCACCATTAAAATTGTGGCCTATGAGATTGAGGTGTGTTCATCATTATGTTTACGGAGACCTACAACTGGTTGTAACCGTGAGGCACAGTAAGGAGCCATGAACTTAGAAGAGATACATTACTGAGATGAAAAAAGTCTCATTTTAAGAGAAAATAGTTTGGGTGGTACACTCATTGAAGTGTATGTAGAAATGCTTTAGAAATCTGCAATTAATTTTATTCATGCCCAAAATAACCTGTGGACAACATCTGTCCAGTTTAAAAAGTAGTTGCATAATAGCTAGAAACCTTTGTAAATTCAGAGTGAATTCATTAAACTAGGACTGCTTCTTAATTCAGAAGTGACACAGGAAACAAATTTTAATATAAGAAATCTATTGTTGAAGACTTCATGTTTGTCATTTTAGTGATTCAACCAAAGTTGTAGTGAGGTTTACTTTTTGTTTGGATACCACAGGGCTTGTCTTCTGGTTGTCTACCAATTAAGTCTCACTCTGGTGCTTCTCGTCAGTGTTAGAGTAACTGCTCGGCATTTGGGAGGCCGCTGTAAGGCTATTCCGCTGAACTGAGTTAACTGTCAAGAACATATCAGCCAAATAATATGTATGCATTAGAAAACCAAAGAACAGCCAAATGGCCAGAAAAAAAAATTAGTTAATGTGACTGGAAAATTGGCAGATATCAACTTAATTTGTCCCTTGGAATCATTTCTTGGCTCACTTTGGACTGGGTGCAGTAGATGCTAGCGAGAGGCAAGGACTGACTGTTGACGTTGGGTTTTCAAATGAGGCCAAGTTGGATGGACGGACGATTGTGTGATGTACTAATAATTGCATACTGGGTATTTTTTTCTTAAATATATGAGTAGGGAATGAAAGCTCTTTACTTTTCTATTTTGATCTGAAAAATGATACTGGGGAATATCTGATTTTAGAATTTCACTGATGACGTATTTACTACCCATAGTGAAAAATTGGAGAACTTTATTTTCTCTGTAGTGGTGCATTGTGGGATGGTAGATCTGTGCGTATCTGGACTCCACTGCGTTTTCATTTATCCGGTGGTGAATTGAGAGGGTCTGTGTTTAGCACTTGAATATTGGACATGATTCAAATAAGAGTCAAGTGTGTCTAGAAGCTTTATTCATGCCTACTTTCTTTTAGTCAGCAGTGCTTCACAATGCCTTGGTTTCATGAATTAATTTTAATGGAATTAAGCTTGAACAGCTCAAAATTATATAATTAATTTCATTCAGCTTCAATTAAAGTTACTAATTGAATCAAGCCTACTAGCATGACACCTGGCGGCAGTCGGCTATATAACAGTAGCAGCAAGTGCGTTTGACTCTGCTGTAGAGCTAGTTCATGTGCAGTGGTGAGTTTGTATCAAAATATCTTTTACTGATAATCTCAGAAATGCCTTGAGTTGACTGTAACCATGGAAAGAATTACGAACTTCTTTAAAACAATCAAGATTTTAATTGAAACTAACACATCTCATGAAGATTACATTTTCTCTATGATAATGCTGAGTAAATGTTATGTAAATCCAGAACATATTGCTTTAGCATGTTTTTAATTTATGCTTTACTGCTGTTTGAATATGGTTTTGCTTTCCCAAACTACTTAGAATTGGAAAACTTATTTTTTTTTCAAGATGTTAACTTCTGGACTTAGTTATAAGTGGATGTCCATCTATTTTAGTGTGTTGAAATGTAACTCATGGCAGAACTTTTCAATTATTGTGAAATTCCCTTGGTGCAGTAGAAATTTCTGCGTGTGCAAAATTTTTTCCTTCCACTGGAAATATTAACACAGTTGACTAACAACTTCTGTTTGAATCTCTTTCCTTTGCTTCCATGCTTTAACATCCTCCAGCTCTTCTTACTTCTCTAACTCCTTCCTAATTGTACAGAAACTTTTCTCCTCTTGTCGTACATTTGCTCTTTGAGCGAGCCCAAGGTTTGGAATGATTTTAGCAATGAAGATTTGGAAGAATGCCGTTTCTACTTGCAGCTTTTTTTTTTTTACCGGCTTGCAAATTCATATGTCCCATATTGTACTCATCCATTAGACTGTACACCTGTAAAAACGCATGGAGGCGGCCTGGGTCATGTCTCATAATTCTTTGTATCCTTGTCACATAGCACATTAAATAAACACGTAGTATGTTCATTAGTGTGTGTGTATATATATATATGTTTAAATAAATTATTTACTGGACACTCCCACCCTGTCAAATCCAGATCGAGAAATTAGTCTTCTCTAATCCCATTTTCTTTTATTACTTGTACAGACTTTTAGTTTCTGCTCTTTATTCACCTTTGCAGCTTTTACTCTAGTTAATTAAACTTTTATCAGGTAGTCTGGAGTCTTGGCAGGCTTCCCTGTGGTTTCCCTTTAGAGATCCACACTAGGTGATTCTCATAGCCATATGTGCCTTGGGGAGGTTGGGTTCTGGAATCTGCTTGTTGAAAGCAGCCAGGAAGGAGAGCCACTGTTGCACGTGATTCCGTTAATCTTTCTCATGCACAGTCCTGGATAGGGCTTTGATAAAGCCTCAGTGACTACTTTTAATTGTTTATCTGGATTTTGAATTAGATCCAGATTTTTCATCTGGTCCGTCAGACACCTGTGCTTGGCCTCTAATCACAGGTTTACAGTGTTACCTGCTGGCATCCACCCCCTGCAGGTACTCCATAGCCAGAGTTGGAACCTTTGCCCAAGGGTCTGCTTTTGGAGTTTACCCATGCTGTTCCTCCAACTTGCTCTCTTGCATGTTTTGAAAACCTTCTAATCTTTTAAAAGCCCATCTGACGTGCACTCCTTTTTTTTTTTTTTTGGTGCCTGTCTTGATCTTTGAATCCTGATGAGTTTTTTTTCTCTTTCTCTTTGAGCCAACTCTTTGGTGCCCTGAACCCCTCGGAGCATGCCTTTCCCTTCTGTTACACTTGGCTTTCTGTTTGACTTGTGATCCCGAGAAGGCGCTGCATTTTCTTAAATATTGGCTTTTCCCGTACAAACCCATAAACCCGCAAATAAATCTCTCATTCTAAACCCAATTCCTTCGGTGAGGATGCATTGAGGAGTCCTTGACTTTTCTCCAGATTCCCACATGAAGTCTGTATCTGCCTTCTGTGTCTCTTAAGTCCTCAGTCACTCCTCATTGAACTGTAGTTGCATTTCCACCACTGGTGAGAATGTTTTCTCTGGACCTTCCCTGGCCTCCTCACCTGCTTCATCCACACACTTGGGCCCATTCTCTGCTTCTCCGTGGCTTGCTCTCATGGTAGAACACTTTCTGTGTAAAACTGTTCACTACAATCTTAACAGATTGCTTTTGCTATGAACATCTGTATTTCTTTCATGCTAGATAGATCATGGATATGCAGTAAACATCTGTCACACTTTATAACGTACAGCTCTCCCAACAGGTTTAGTTATGGCAGACCTAGAGCATTTAAAAACAAATACATAAGCAATTTTATATATGTATATGTGTATATATATAAATGTAACATTTGGTGATAATAATTGTATATATGTCTATATGTTTTTTTTTTATTTAGAAAAATGTGACAAAGAAAATACTGACAAAGATATAACTCCAGCTACTAACAGCCACTTCACACATGGAGAAGTGCAAGACCAGTCCATTTGGGGAAATCCTTCAGGTAGCGAACTCATCAGAAGTAAGTATTTTGAGTGAAAATTTGACTCATGTGAGGATATAACTATTCAATATGCTCCTAGTTAATTGTTCCATATCATTCTACTGCAAATCTAAAATCAACAGAGTTTATCTAACCATGCTATCACTAATATTTTAAGTTATAAGGCTAAAAGTAGGATGTAAAAGGTGCTGTTAGTCAGCTTTTATCTTTTCCTTAGGAAAGAAGTTATGAGCTGTAAAGTTTGAACTAGATCCTCAGATTTAGTCGAAAATCATTTCCTTCTGAGTTTGAAAATCAGACAACTCAGTTTATGTGGAAGTGAAACTAGAAAGGAGGAACTAAAGAATGAGGAGCAGCTTTTTAAAAGTTAATTTAGTTTATTATGAATGATACAGTTCTATAGGTTCTAAGACTTTCCTTTCTCCTTCTTCAAGCCTCCCCAGCTCACCCCACTAATGTCCCCCATGCCAAAATATAGTCCTTTAGAATCAGTCTTAAGTCCGTCATTTCGCTGTTTAAGTATATCCTGACATTGTAGGTGTGGATAATGGCGGAGAGTCTACACCCTATTATCAAGATGCATTCAACAGTTTCATTGGGAACCTGTCTTTGATTCGGAAGGAAAGATGTGCACTGCATTGTGTCTTCACCTGTGTATGGGCTAATCTCTACTACACAGTTACTATTCATCCATGGCAAATGAAACGTCATTAAAAAACAAAAACAGAGAGAAAAATAGAAAATTTAGAACAATAAATAACACACTACTGAATGACCACTGTGTCACTGAAGAAATGAAAAAGAAAATTAAAGGCCTTCCTGAAGCTAACAATGCTATTATATGACCTATGAGTCAGTGAGGAAATTCATAAGAAAAACAGGAACCTTGCTTTATATAGCAAAAACAGGATAGAAAGAGCTATTGATATTATACTTTGCATGAAGGTTGCCTTATGTTAGAACATATATTTGTCCTTTTGGGATTGACTTATTTCACTGAGCATAGTGGTCTTGAGTTGGAACCATTTGGTTGCAAGAGTTTTTTTTTTTTTTTTTCATTTATTTATTTGAGAGACAGAGGGACAGTGATAAATATAGAGAGATAAAACTCCCATTCACTGGTTTTCCACATTCCTGCCATAGCTGGAGTTGGACTGGAATACTGCAGCTGGAAATTCCATAAAGGTCTCCCATGCATGTATGAGAAACGCTATTGTGTATGCCATCATTGCTCTTGTTCCGGCTCACGAAGTAGAGCCAGGCTTTTATCCCAGGTGTTCTGAATGGGATGTAGGCATCTGAACTAAGTTAAACACTCCCCACCCCAGGCAACACTTTGATAACGATATCACGGTTCTTGTTTGTCTAGCCAAAAAATCCTGGTCCTTATTTATTGCAATTAATATTCTATCATTATTTGGTTAGGTTGCTCTCCCTTTTCCTAAAATTTCTCTCTAGAACATATGTAAAAGGTTTGGGATGTTTTGGTTGGACTGTGGGAATACCCTGAAATCCTGATATCTTTTGGATAATTTTGAGAATGCTGATTCGCTGGGAGGGCCTGCTCTTGTCTTCCTCAGGCTTGTGGTTGGCCACTGAATTGTCCCGGAGGATTCAAGGTGAATTTTCACATAGTAATTTACATGTAAACAGGGGGAGTCTGAAGACGAGTGTTATGCCACCCCTCGAAGACCATGGACATAGATCTTTTGAAATTCTCATCCGCGTAACCAAATTCCCATCTCTCATTTTCAGTTTTCCATAGTGACAGAGGAGGAGGACTCATTTCTGAATATTTATGTGTTGTTTTCATCCTTATTTTTAATTCATCAATTAGGCATTGTTCTGGAACTTGGATCTCCCCCTTTTATTTTACTGTTCTCAATACCTGGCCCTAACTGAATAACAAGCAGAAGAGTAGCAACAACACAAAGCCCAAGTTACCTGGAAATATATAAACAATAAAAAACAACTGAAGAAAATGTTCAGTTTTTCAAAAACCCTGAAGTTGAGTGTGTTTTAGTGCCACATTAGTTTTGAAGAAAAGAGCAGGGAAGAAGAAAATGGGACTAAGAAATTAGTGTAGAGCAAGACTGATATAGCTGTTTCCATAGAATCAAGTAAACATGGATTAAGTAAACATTTATTCCAAAATATATATTGCTTGTGTTTATGTTCACATGAGCTCTGTTCTTGGGTCCTTTTGTGAGATACTGGGGTATTTTCTCTGTGATTTCCCAGTGCCTGGAGCCAGCCAGTCAGTGCTTGCAGAGGGCTGAGAGCAAATCGTAACAACAGCTGTTGGGAAGTATGATGCTTCTCTCTCTTTTTCAGGATAACAAAATTTTAAACGTGTGTGTTTCATTTAATTGAATTATTTCCCTAATCTCCTGTCTCAAGGCCCATGCTGGGAAAATGTGAATGAAATCTCTTAGAACAAAACCCAGAAAAAAAACAACTGTTGCTGAAGGGACGTGGGAAGTCATGTTAATGTGTGAAAAGTGCCGGTGGTGCTGGATGAAGCTCCTTTGGTCACAGCATTCATCCCCTTAAAGAGAATGGACTGAAAATGAGTTATTCTCTTTATTCTCTGTATTGGGGACGTGGACACTGATCAGAAATATTGCAAATGACAGGAAATAATTTTCTTATTGAGATAATGATGCAACTTGTGCCATGGGACACTGGAGCATTTGGGAACAACTGGTTAGCTTCCTACTAATAGACACTGAAAGAGTGCAGAAAGAGGGAGATTTATAGCTCCTTTAGAAAGGGTTGCTGGGAAAACTGATGATGAATGGATCTGCAAAAGATAATGGCCAGTGACAGTAATGCCAGTGCTGCCATAAACATAATCTGGGAAGTGTTTTCAAATACTTGTGGGTGACATCTGACTCTGAATTCTGATTACAGATTTCAAAAGCTTTTTATTTAAACAAAGGCTACTTTGTTGGATCTACAGGGGAAAAATGTTCTATCTGGACTTGCAGAAGGGGAGCATTAAATATCTTTCAATTTGATTCCGTTCTGGGCAATGTTTGAAAGTCTGGGCTTGTGGTAGCTTCTACTATTCCCACTTCCAGACAGAAGGCTTTAACTGCCAGGCTTTCTATGTTTGGTCTTCTTCAAGGAGCAGTTGGTCATTTCTGAAACTTGAAGATAAGGAGCTGTGTGTTGTGCTCTTGCTTCTACATCTTGCATGGATTTTTTTTTGGTGGGGGGAGCAAGGGAGGGAGATACTAAATCTATTGTCATGACAGTAGGGCCTGGGAAGGAGTCTCTGACCCAGAATTGATGTGTGGTGAGCCAGGAGTCCTGAGCACCCTGAAAGAAGTACACCGCAGGCTGGCAGGAACGGGTACTAGCCTTGCACTTTCCAGCAAGATTGGTTGGGCAGAGGGATCAGTAGCAAAGTGAGGCCAGCTGGGCGGTGGGAGCATGTTCAAATGCACAGCCCACTCCTTTTCCAAGCTTCCATGGGTCAACTCATCAGCAAGACATGAAGGAGACTGATTCTGTCTGATGGGACTTCTTGTTGTTTCTCTGTTTGAGAGTTCTTGTTCAGGGGCTGGCAGCCAGCTCGTGGTTCTGCTGTCCCCACTGCTGCTACACTGTTGGTGGGACGTTTAGAACCTAATTTAAGGGGGACTGTGAACAGTGTGATGAGGCTGTTTTTGCTTTTTCTTCGCTGAGAATAAGCTCTGGAAAAGTCAAGGGTGTGGCTGCTTTGGAAATTGCATTCTAATTAAAGGGTGTATTCTCAGACTTTGTAAACCATATCCAAGCTGAGAATAATTTCCAAATTATTCTGCAAGCTTTAACCCTGAACTCCCTGGACCACCCACTTGTGGCTGATGCTTGTCTCATGCTCCACGCAGACGTCTGTGCGTTTTCTGTCCTTCCTGGCTCTTGTAGCATACATTGCAAGTGGGAGACCTGGAGTGCTGGGGTCTTTCAGGGTTTGGATTTAAAACTGTTTGCTTTTGAGTTGCTGACTTAGTACTGAAACCCCCCCCCCTTTTTTTTTTCTGGAAGTAATCAATAAAAGAGAAGAAATCCATATGGATTCAAACATTTTTGAATAAATAGGCCACACGCAATCATGTCAGGGGATGTGTATTGTTAGGAAATTTAAATTTAAGAAGATGATCCTGCTCACTTAAGTTTGTTTTTTAAAAAAAGTCTAAATCAAATTAGGAGAGAATTGGAAGCCCAGTGGAGGTTTTGAAAAGAAATTTTATAATTGGATGTTTTTTTTATTTTATGATTTTTAATGTCCTTTTAACAATGTAAAAGCCTTTCATATTCTGAGAAAATATTTTGGCATATAATTTAATTTCTGGAATAAGAATTGAGGTTTGAGATTTATAAAAAACATTTTTTTTTCTATGAGAACACAGAGTAAGAGTGTCTCCCCAGCACCCCGGATTAGCATATGGGGCCCAGTATATAATTTGAAGCCATGCCTTGCTTTAATAATTACTCTTTCCTTGAATTAATAAATGTTGCAAGGAAGTGCCATCGTCAATTAATATTAATTTTTCTGCTTATTCCATAATATGCATAAACTGATAAGAGTAATAGGCAACATTTCATGTATTAATTAGACAAGAAAAGGAACAGAAATAGCATTTTGATCTCAGTCTTTGGTGGAATTTCTAAGGTGGGATGGAGTGTGTGTGTTCTTATACCCACTTCTGTTCAATGTGGTCCTTTAATTTATTTCTATTTCTGCTACTTTTATTATTTCCTGTAAAGAGCTCAGGTTTTTCTTTGTTCCTCTTGGTAAATTGCCCGAGGTCTGTCTCTACTTCAGATTTTTTCTAGGTCTTTCTGAAAATTTTTATTACTTGCCTTTATCCTAGGACACTGCTTTTACATACAGGTCTCCCAATTCTGAGCGTCATTACTTAACTCCCGAAATTTTCCTGAGCTTCTCTTTTGAAATAAATTTCCCATTAAATTAAACCATTTTGCTCAGCTCATTCTCTCCTGTGTGATTCTGTGGAATTCCCATG